CAGTACAGGGAGTTCCTGCTTAACCCTCAAAGTGAAGTGTCGTCTCATTCTTGGGGGGAATTTGACTGTATGCCGATTGCCAGGAGTGTAAGCTGTTCGTAGGGCTTTTCCTGTTCGGCTGCTTCCAGGGTTCGTGTGTCTGCTGTTCGAGAGTTGGTGAATACGTGCAGTTTGGAGTTCGGGAGGTTGGTGATTGTATTAGCTGCTGGTCTATCTGGAAGGGGATTATCGCCTAAATGGTCTTTATCCCCTTGTGAGCGAAACGGTCCGTTACAATGACATAAACTTAAAACTGACTTTTGAGATTGAAGATCAAAAACTCAATTTCCTAGACGTTACTATTGAACTAACAGAGGAAAATCGTCTGGCCACTACCCTATATAGAAAACCAACTGCCACAAACTATTTTCTTAATTGGAAGAGTCATCATCCTTCACCTCTCAAAAAAGGCATATCTGTAGAGCAATACCTACGACTGAGGAGACATTGCTCCTCAACAGAAGACTTTATAGCTAAAGCAAAAACTCTGAGAGAACACCTCAAAGCAAAAGGGTACCCAAATAAATGCCTGAAAAAAAAGCTAATTTGAGATCCCTGCTTACTTAAAGATCAAATCTACTCAGAGAAGACCAAGACACCAGGTTTGAACAATCTATAATCAGATGCACTGGCACCTTTGATGCTGGATGATATACAGTCAAAAATACATTAGAAAGATACTCGCCACTACTACACCAAGACCAGCATTTAAGGGAAGTTTTAACATCTCATGTTGCCATGACAGCCAGATGCGGATGTAACTTAAACAACATTTTGGTCCCTAATCACCTCTCCTGCAAATAAAGCAAAGTGGCTTAAAACGCCCGCGTGTGCCAATGCGGGCATTGTAAAGCATGTAAATATATTCGCAGACACTCCAAAACCTTCTCAAATTCAAGTGAAAATGAAACTTTTATGACAAACTTTCTTCAACTGCCAAACCTCAGGAATAGTTTACGTTTTGACCTGTAGTTGTAACTTAAAATACGTGGGAAAAACAAGCAGAGCGTTTAAAAAGCGAATTTTAGAACATGTTAATTTGATTAACCCTTCCAGACTTATTGACACCCCAATGTCCAAACATCTAAAGCTACAACATGGAGGCTCCTCCCAAGGGCTTCGTTTCAGTGGAATAGAAAAATTAAACCTGGGCCCAAGGAAAGGCGACCTGGATAAGAAACTACTCCAGAGAGAATGTTTCTGGATTTACAAATTAAAAACATTATCTCCGTCTAGATTAAATGAAGGATTTTCATACACTTCATTTACATCTGATTAAACATTTGCCCTATAACTTATAATGCACTTTTTTAAATATAAATATGGATATACCACCATTAAATGAATGTACAGCACTTCTTTATAATCAAAACAACTTTATAATTTTCCCTCTGTAAATCCACCCCTTTTCACTTTTAGACCTGATTTATTTATCTCCATTGGACATATAACTGTACATCTACTAAATATACGATCATTAAGACGTTGGCTTACATCTAAGACTGACATCACCCATAGATTAGCCCTCTCTATCAAAATATATATCTAGACACATTTCTCCCCTATATTTTGACAACCTCAAGACTCAGCCCAGTATATCGCTGAACTTTTTGCTGTATTGGTTTAATAATAAAATTGATACAGAAGGGCTTAGTAGCCCCCATAGTTTGAAAAAAACATCTATCTAAACATTAAATGACCACTATAGTGCCACTATAGGGCTCTGGGGAGAGGAAAGGGGTTATACTTACCTTTATTCCAGCGCCGGGCGGTGAGCTCTCCTCCTTCTCTCCGCCTCTGATCCTCCTCTTCGGCTGAATGCGCATGTGCGGCAGGAGCTGCGCACGAATTCAGCTGGTCTCATAGGAAAGCATTTACAATGCTTTCCTATGGACGCTTGCGTCTTCTCACTGTGATTTTCACAGTGAGAAGCACGCAAGCGCCTCTAGTGGCTGTCAATGAGACAACCACTAGAGGATTTGGAGGCTGAATTAACCCTATTATAAACATAGCAGTTTCTCTGAAACTGCTATGTTTATAAAAAAAGGGTTAATCCTAGAGGGACCTGGCACCCAGACCACTTCATTAAGCTGAAGTGATCTGGGTGCCTAGAGTGGTCCTTTAAACATATAGATTAAGGTATAGTTAATAGACGTTCACACAGTATATCCCTAAATGGGGTTAATTCCATCAAATAAATAGACCTGCATTATAGATAAGACTGTAAAGATAGGCTGTTTTAACCGTTTATTAGATATAAGACAGAGGGGGTTACTCTCTTCAGTAAATAGATAGACACCCTAGAGAAGATTCTAATGAGATGACGACCTAATAGTACACTAGACATACCAAACCTTATACGATGGGTTGTTATACTTTTAGTTTGGCATCCTAGATATAGGTGCAAACAAGACATAGTTTCAAATGCACATTGGACATTGCATTGAAAGGGTTAATCCTCTCAAGTGAGTCACATATGACGATCTGTCCTCAGATTGGAGCTTACAAAAGAGGTACTTTGCATAATCAATTGCTCTACTATTCAGGACACACCCTTTAATGATGTGGCACTACCAGATTGTCTTACCATCCGGTTTCCACGTAGGATGATAGGTTTAAAAGGGACGTTGTGGTCAGTTCACTCTTGACCCCTGACGAAGGTGCACATGTCCGTGCACCGAAACGTGCGTCAGGCATTCTTTCTTTTCTCACAGGGCACTTAAGCACTTGGAACACAATGGTGCAGCTTAAGCAGCATGGTTTCGATATATTAGCACTTTTTAAAGTTTTATTTCCTATTTCTTTTTCCTCTGACTATTCAGTTAGATTAACAGGTAGAGAGGCTTTATCTATATCTAATTCTGTCTGTTTTTTTTTCAATAATCCTTATTACAAGCTGCATTATTTTGTGCTCTTCTTGAGCCAATATATATATCACTTTGTATCAGCTATACCGATTGGCAACATTACTTACATTCAGCAACTTTAATTACGCCCTCTCCCTTTATCTTTGATCTAATTTAATTACATTTAACTTGTATCGGATTCCCCTACAGAGGCATACCTGAATAAAGCTTGATAAGATAGGAGAATTGGATCTAATGGAGCTAATTTTTATAGTCAGAGACTTAGCCGAAAGGGCTTTGGATTACAAATCTGACCACAACCACTTTGTGGTGAAGTGTTTCACATTCAGTATATACACTCTATTTCCAGATAGCACCTACATACAGAGTGTCCTCTCTGGTGGGAGTTATAATTTTATTTCATTGATGAATAGGGGTTAAGCCCCGAGACACTACTGGAGAGTCTTTTTGGTGCTCTACTTTCAGAGTGGGAGATTCTGCAAGTGCAGACCTCCCTACTCTGAACAACCCTTTATATACATTTTGGAGTTAAATCACTTTTGTTTCTGTTTGTGCAGCCCTAGCCGCACCATCCCTGGCTGGGACTGACACAGCCTGCATGATAACAAAATGGTTTAATTTTCAATCAGATGTAGCTTACTTTATACATTTTATCTCCTGCTCTGTAAATTGAACTTTAATTACATACAGTAAACTCCTGCAGGGTTATGCAAGCTATTCACAGAGCAGGAGATAAGACATTCTAAATTAGACAGAATTTGCAATAAAGGAAGTGTAAACATTAGATGACTCTTCATAGGAAGTGTTTAGGAAGGCTATGTAAGTCACATACAGGGAGTTGTGTCCAGGGTTGCATAAACAAAGTGATTTAACTCCTAAATGGCAGAG